CATTGTACAAACCAAAATGCAAGCACATTTTGTTAAGAAAATTAAGGTAACATAAGGTATTCTTTCTTGTCAAATTGAATATAATAACATATGTGATACTTACTGTACTTTCCGTTAGAACTTGTTTGACATCCTCGTAAAACCACAATCTACTACGCTGGCCAGGATCATTGGGGGATTCTTTGTGAACTATATCCTTGCCCAGGTTTGCTATCAAGTCGTGCATTAAAATCCTCCTCAATTCAGTAGTTATCAATGCCTTATCAACGAATTCTTCAATGAATTTTTGGGGTACTATTTGTAGCACATAGTCCTCATATTCACCCTTGAAGAAACATGCAATGTCGAGAAAATATTCTTTTGCGCGATGATCCAAGGCATCATAACTTTTTTGAAGTATTCTTTCAATATATGTATAAGGTTCTCCTTCGTAATCATCTAATATAACTTGCCAACGTCGTATATCTATACGATAAAGATGAGAACCTAAAATTGTTAGAGCTAGTGGAAGGCCATCAGCAAAAGCTATTGCACGTTGTGCGAGTTCCAAATAATCTTTTTGAGGTTCACTTCTTCGGAATGCATGCCAACTGAAAAGCTCAAGAGCTTGGTTGTAATCTAACTTCTTCACCTCGTATATCAACTCAATTTGACGATTGTCTAGCAATCTCCTATTTTTTGTAGTAATGATTACTCTACTACCCTCACCAAACCAATCATCTCCAGCCAATTTTTCCAACTGCTCCAATTGGTCCACATCGTCAAGAATTAAGAGAATCTTTTTATGCCTCAGCCGTTCTTTTATAACACCAATTCCTTCATCAACACTCTGAATTTTCCAATTTTTGCCTAGAATCTTATCAAGAAGAGTCTCCTGTAGCTGGACTAAGCTTCCTTCTCTAACATTTGGCAAGAAACAACCTCCTTGAAACTCATGGGCAATTGCATTCCATATAGCTTTTGCAATTGTTGTCTTGCCTATTCCAGATGTCCCCCATATCCCAACCATGCGACAACCATTCCCACCACCATTTAAAAGCTTTTTCACATTTTGTACATGAGACTGGATTCCAACTAGGTGGTTGGCCACATTCCAATATGTGCGTCTCAGTACTCGGTTCAAGATTCCATCAACAATGCTGTTGATAAATGTAGCTTCATAACTGCCAGTTTAACCAAATTAGAAACATTTAATGAATCAAATTTAAACATCCAACCACTAAAGTACCCAAGAAAATAAATCTTCTCCCTACAGTTGTATATTTTTACAAAATAATATTTTTCTTTAATGAGTAACAATTAAATGTAACCAAAGTAAAAAAGAAAAAGAAATTAAGTTAACTTGAAAAAGATAGATAACCCTGAAATATAGAATCAAGACACTAAATTAAACATAATGCCCTGCAGCTATCGAAAATATTAAATTTAAAAAAAAGAAAAAAAAAGGATCTTCTCCCTACAATTTTATATTTTTACAAAATGATACTTTTCTTTAATAATGAGTAACAATTAAATGTGTAACTAGAGAAAGAAGAGAGAAAAAAATTAAACTTGAAAATGATAAAGATAGAAACATACTCTCCTTCCTTGAAATGCCATCCAGACAAATTTGCTGCTTCCTTAAGAGCTCTCCTCCATTTGAGCACTTTCTCCTTGTCATCCTTGAATTTGCGTTCATGGTGAACAAATGCATCACCATAACTACTTCTTTGGTGTCGTACATCTGACGGATCCACCATGAAAAAAAAGGGCAAAACTATTTGTTGGTTTGATTGTTTACATTGAAGGATCTTGACAAGTTCATCCAAGCACCACCTCGAAGATGCATAGTTTTCAGAGAATACAATGAGAGAAATTCTTGATTCTTCAATTGCTTTGACAAGGGCTGGCGATATTTCTTCTCCTCTTACAAGCTCTCCATCAATGAAGGTGTAGATGCCCTTATCACACAAGGCCTTGTACAAATGATCTGTAAAATTGGTGCGTGTCTCACCTCTAAAACTCAAAAACACATCATATGTCCATGATGAATCATGAGTGAAAGAAGAAGAAGAAGGAGAAGAAGAGACTGGTTGATATGAAGGAAGTTGAGGTTGAGCAACCCAACTCCCCATAAACCTGGATAAGAATTTGGAGAACATTGAAGAATTGAAGAAGAAGCAGAGAGAATCTTACCTGATTTTGTATTGATTTTCTTTCTTAATAAAACGATACAGTAAGAGCTAAGCTTATATGCATGACAAATAGCTTAAGGCTTAAACAAACTCAACAAACTCACGTGCTCTCCATGTGCCAAGCTTAGATTTATGAGGGCTTGACGAAGCAGGTTAAAGGTGTGATCAAGTTAAAGGTGTGAGGAATTTTCTTTTCATACTGACGCGGTCTTTAATTTAGTGAAGCATCTATCGGTAAGGAACCTTCAAGGCAACTTCCCGTCTTTTATTCCTAGATGTGTTTTCTTTCATACATGATGGAACGTCTACTTTTTGACTAAGACCTCCTCACTATTATTAAGGCTGGTTTGTGTCTCTTTTTCTTACAGTACATGGCACTTTGTTCGGGACTTTATATTTGAAGCTCTAAATTTTTTATGTTGTAATTTAGTTTACGTGTTAATGTTTTTTTTTTGTTTTTTTTCAATTGAGTTATTTATACTAATATTCCTGAGTTTTTTTGGCATTTTCACAAAAATTCCTGGAGTTTCAAAAATTACACAAACACACCTTAAGATTTTAAATTGTTTTCACAAAAATCATTTTTATTAATTTTTGGGTTAATTTCAATTTAGTACTTTGAACTCTTACCCTTAAAGCATGTTTGTCCATGCATTCTCAATTTTAACAATCATGTACCCCAATTGTTTTAATTTTTTGCAATCTGGTTTCGGCTATCAAAATTTCCCTTAATTGTCTATGTGGTAGGCATGGGTCCCACCTTTTCGCTGCTTTCAATGTCAATTAAAGGGTATTTTCGATCAATTGGTGTCTTTCGCAAGTACTTTTGTTAAAAATAACTATGACACTTTTTTTTTGCAAGTTTGAACAGGAAGGCACCAATTGTCCAAAAATACCCTTCCATTGTCCAATTTTTCCAAGTTTCAGCGGGAAGGCACCAATTCCGCAAGTACTTTTATCAAAATTAACCCTTAATCTGCGTTACAAAAATTGAGCCATTGTGGTTTTGTAAATGGCACAAAAATTCAAAGAAGACCCCGAGGCCGACAAGTCTCTTCTAAGTGCATGTCCTAGGGTAGGGTGGGCTGTGTGGGTTTGGTATGTTTCAAATATATATATAGATATTTTTTTTCCGGATTTGTAGTTTTTTAATTTTAAATTGAATTTGTAATGTCTATTTAACATTTTGGAATATTAAATACATCTTTATTAATATATATTTTTTGTACACGTGGCAAACCACATCAATTATCAAGTGGGCTCAACATGTGCCTTGTGAGCATACTTAATAGATTTTTTTACTATGTTAACCAATGTGTCAAAATGAGACACAAAATTCTAATATGTAGGGTAAAGTGAGACAAATTGAGTTTTAGGGGCAAAGTGAGACTCAAATGTTTAAGGGTATATCAATAATTAAGCCCAAAAAAAAAAGGTTAAACCATTTTTCAACAATTTAACAAAGGTATGGGGTCAAATTTTGAGTCTGCAAGGTTGGAGGAAAAAACTGTTTAAGTTTGGGCAATACATAAATAGTTATATTTTAAAGGATAAAAATTTAAGTTTAGTCCCAAATAAGTTGGAGAATGCCTCATAGACTAGTTGGAACTCTTTCTTTTGTTTACCAGCTAGCTGTCACCATATATATTAATATTATCAAGATTTGTGAGGTTAAAATTTTCTATATAGATATTGTAATCTTAATGGGGTCTTCTATGTCTCTCTATCCCTTTTTCCCATTGACTTGAATGGTATTTTTTTAACACCTCAACGTAGTTTCTGTCTTATGCTACGTAACTACACTACAGTATGAATGTGTTGAAGTAAATGGTAAGGAAACTTCAAGGAAACTTCTCCGCTTGGACGGTGATGCCTACTCGGACAGTTGGTGTCAATTGCCCCCCATTGACCTTCTTCTTTTACCTACAAAACAGGCCAAATAAAACTAGACTGTACCTTTGCTGCTTTTTGATTATTGCTGTAAATTTAGTGGACCCCGCATTCCATGTAGCATGGCTTTATGACCCATCCCATCCCTGAAAACACGACTTCCTGCTCTCCATGTGTACATGTGCATCGCATGCATGCATGATCTCATCTCTCATGGATGGATTGATCTGATGGGTGGGTCCATGGAGCCAGTACTCGATCCACTGGTGGTCCCCCACCTCTGCATCCATAATCCTGTTTTATGCCCTTTTTGGATTATGGGGCTCCATGTCCCATGCTCTCGCATAAGTCTCTCGATCTAGCTGAACTATTTGGGTTGGTGGAGACTATTGATGATATTGGGACGTAGCAATATTTTTTTTTTTTTTGATGAGCTAGGGGGCCAAGCCCCTGAAACAACAACTAAAACAAATCAATACAAACTAGTCGGGTTCTGTGAACCCTAGCACTATCATCAGCGAGAGTTGATCTCACCCACTCAGGGGCATTATCAAAGAGATGAACTCCCAGATCTTCATTGTAACTAGACTTTGCTAAGCAGTCGGCAACGCAGTTTTTCTCACGATAAATGTGTCTGACAACACAGTTATTGATTTTTCCCATGTAATCCTTACAGCTGCAAATCACACCAGCAAGGGGGTGGAAATTACTGTAATCAGGAGCTTGAAGAAGCTGTATAGTAGTTGCTGAATCCATTTCCACAATGAGGTTAGAGATCCCCTGATCAACTGCAAGTTTAAGCCCAAAAACCAGCCCCCAGGTCTCTGCATCTAGGATCTGACCCTTGCCTAAGTTGGTTGCAAATCCAGCAATCCACTCCCCATCAGAGTTTCGAATAACACCACCTGCACCAATATCACCAGTAGCAGATTTCCGAGAGCCATCGACATTTAGTTTAAAATAACCAAAGTCTGGAGGTTCCCACACCAGGTAGAACGTAGCAATATTTTGCTGGGTGATCCTTCAATTAGTACATTATTCCTATATTAGTAATTTGTTTTCAAGAAGTAAAGGAATCCTTTACATCAAAAGAAAAAGGGCAACTTAGTAGTCTTTCACAACTCAATTGCTTTTCTTTTCACCTATCCGTTTTTTCCAAGAAAAAAGAAAACAAAAACCACCCTGCCTAGAAATGATGTGAAAATTCACACGAAAATATACACACTGAATCCACACGGGGAAAAATGTTGAAAAGATTCTTTGCAAAGGCCCTTATGATAAAAAATAATAAAAAAGACGGAAAATTAGCTTTGCGTTTAGATAGTCTACACGAGTTTTAGTGAAGAAACTTCATTGCAACTACAAGTGATCGAACGGTGATATTTCCTTTACTTTTCATTCTTTATTTTTTTTGGTTGAAATGCAGCGATTTGACAAGCATTACCTTTACTTTCTCTTTTGACCGACATTACCTTTAATTTTTCTTTTTAAGACGGAAAATTAGCTTTGCGTTTAGATAGTCTACACGAGTTTTAGTGAAGAAACTTCATTGCAACTACAAGTGATCGAACGGTGATATTTCCTTTACTTTTCATTCTTTATTTTTTTTGGTTGAAATGCAGCGATTTGACAAGCATTACCTTTACTTTATCTTTTGACCGACATTACCTTTAAGTTTTCTTTTTGTAGTTTTAATGGGTGTCCTCCCTTCCCACTTTAATAGTTCATCGAGTGAGCTAGTAGGGAGCACGGTAATGATTTTATGGGCATTTAAATTCTCTGTGTCAAAAAAAGTAAAGGAATAAAGTTAGTTACAGAAGAAAAAAAGGATGGTTGAAACTCTTGAAACTCATTGGGGTCTGCATGGAGAAAAAGCTGCTATCCCATTTGTGTTGGTGACTTGTCTTGTGACTTCAACGTATCATACTCACCCAAGTGTGGAATTAAAATTTTTTAATGGGTGGACTAGTTAAAATTATTAGCTTAAAATTTAATAGTAATTTTATTTTTGTTGAGAAGGTGGTACTAACCTTCTATAGTCTTTTTAGAAATAAAAGCATACATTAAATCATATAAACTATACTAGTTTGCCAATGAAATCTAGCCCAGTGAAAAAGGGTGACTTGCAAACTAGTGGTCTCAAATTTAAATTCTCATGAGACCATGAGACCTTGCAAGGTGTGTATGTGTGAGAAGTCCCCCTCCCCTTATAGTTACTATTACTTTTATTATTATTATCTATAAAAAAAAAACACGCTATATTGGTTCGTTTCTTTTGGTTCATTTCAAAAAAATAAATTCTTTTTCAACTCCACCCTTGTACTCGCCCATTTAGATGGTTGTTGACCACCTTTTTTTTATTTTTAAAAAAAAAAAAAATTGACCAACGGCTACTTCCTTAATTTTTTTGTTAATTGTTTGTAATTTTTTTAAAAATCTGTTTTACATTTGAAGTCTATGAAATAAAAAGTTGGTTTCTAATCTTGTCCAAATTTTGACTTTTTTTATTGTTGAAATGTTCACAAAAAAAAAAGAAAAAAAAAGACTAACATAACATAAATATAGCAAAATAAAAGTTGAACTGAAATCTCCTCAACGACTTTATTGATAAATTTTGTAGACAAGGCCCTTTCTTATCTAAGTTTACTATTTCTAAAACCACTTTCTTTTTCAATACAAGTTGTAGTTTAGGGAAGAAGGAATTCTCACATATACACACTACTTTGATGCTATGGGAATTCGAACTGGAGACCTTTGGTTTGCAAATTAAGGCTCTTTTTCACTGAGCTAGATTCCTTTGTCTTAAAACCTCTTTTTTAGACAAAGTGTAAGGAGAATTGAAAAAAGAAATTTCTTTTGGTTTTTTTTTTTTTTCACTTTTGCTCAAATGACTATAGGGATATTTTAGTAACAATATTTCATTTCATTGTATGAAGAACTTTCGGTGCAAGTGCAACTACAAAGCGGTCAAACTCAAATGGTGATATTTCTTTTGTCACCACGCGCATTCTTTGAAATGATGGTCTTTCGGTGCAAGTGCAAAGACAATG